TCATTGACCTCATACTCTTCCTCATACTATGAATAATCCTTACTACTTTTGATTTTGGTTTTTTCTCAGGTACTTGTTGAGTTATGTTATTGCCTGAAAATAAATAATAACATTAGATTAAATATTGGCTAGTCTACAACATGCGAAATATATGTCCTTATCACGGCGATACTTAAGGGGACAAATTAGCCATTTTGGGGGCTGAGTCTCAAACTACGAAGTTCTTTTCCTATTTCTATATATGGCAGTGTCTCAAGAAAAGAAGACTCGTCTTTTTAACTTTCAAACTTTCATTAATTCTGGACACAAGTGGATTTGAAGGCTCAAATTTCGACTGTGCGCTGTGAACATTATTACTAGAATTAGGCCAATGGCTAAAATAAAAATTCAATATAATCGGATTTCGGTCTGAATGTTATGAATTGTAGCATGTACCAAATATAATGCGCTAACCTGGTAGATTTAGTTCTTGAAAGTACAGTGATGGTTTTGTGATCAGAAACTGCCTGTATATTTCAGCAGCGGATGTCACACCTTCTATCTGGTATTTATCCAATGTCGATATATTGACTGAGTAAGTATGATCTGCTATCATTTGAACACATAAGGACGACTCTTCCTCCTCATTCAGATTGAGTTGTTGATTGTTACCCTTGTTATTTATAGTCATCTGTTGTGTTGATGTCGTTTTGTTTAGTTCTGAAATTAAAGAACACATGGTTCTAGCTTCCTGTTATCTTTACAGTCATGTGTTTAATATAATATTATAAGGTTTTGACTGTTCTCCTCTCTTTTTAATTCTTGCGTAAGAGCGGTGATTGCACGGAAGGATTAATCCTAATGATTTATATCTATAGGTTAAATCCTCCCGTGTGAACTGAATAATTATATAATTTAATCATATAGTCATATAATTTCGTAGCCTACATTAGGATAAATCCTACTGGATAGAACACGTGAGACTGAAACTATATTTTGTAGTATTCAAATGTTTCTCATACAGAATGAAGCAATTAAAACTTTTTTATTTCAACAAACATCTTTGAACCTTTAGAATAAATATCACTTTTCTTGGTTTGTATGCTTTAACCAGTATTCTTCACCATTAATGATATAATAATAAGCCCTATTACTTACTTGTATGACGTTCAAGTAATTCTTTCATATCGTCCACCACACCATCACCTTGTGATTTTGTCCCAACATCAAGGCCCTTTCCATCACCTACAATACTATCGTCTTTGTTGTTCTGAGGACCTCTTCCCTGCCGTCTTTGTCTCATTGGCATACCTCTATTTGTTCTGTAAGTCGCTTTAATTCTCGCTTGAATACCCTCCATTTCTAAAAGCAAGCATCAAAAACTAGAAGTTACAACTTTTAGGAATTGTCATCTTTAGAACAGTACAATGACGTCATAATCACTTCTGAAGTGAACTATGAACTCTTTGGCAATGGTGACGCCAGCCCAGAATGGGCGTACAGAATGGGCGCAGAATGATTTAATGGTGGAACAACTGTCGGGATTGAGATTCAAATACGACAGTTCTACGGAAGCGCCCTGACGCAAGCATCCCCTTGAGCGTCTGAGAGGGGTTTCCAAGAAACATTTGAAAAATTGAGTTCATTCTAAAACTGAGACAATTTTTAGGGCAGAAACGTAGATTAATCACATTTTTGAATTTTTAAGAAATTAGCTGGAGTATAATTTGGTGAACAGACCATTTTTCTAAAGGTGGGAGGAATCCTCCTCTGTACCCCCAAGGGCGCCGTCACTGCTCTTTGTTTGAGAGACATGACGAAACTACCGCCCGAGCTTACAAATATGCATCACGAATAATGGACAAAAAACCTAACGTCTACAAACTTGTTAACTGTTGAAAGAATAGTATACATTTTGTCCGAAGTAAGCAATTTACACCTGTACTAGACCTACCCGAGCTTTTCTTACTTAAAGTTAAAGCGTAATTCAGACATTTCAACCATAGGTTAATGCTAAATTCAATGATTATGTTTATGAAATCTTGACAAAAATCTGAAAATCAAAAACTTACTTCTCTTCGTAACTCTTCTATCAGTATTTGATGAAAATTTACAAATTTCTCAGAGATGCTTCTTACACACGTCTTTTTAGACTGGATAAGAAACTTAGCGTGACATCTTTTGTATTATGACGTCATAATATTGTAACGTTCATTTTCTACAATGCCCCAGAGAAGACACAGCACAAAAAGTGAATACAAATGGACATTATATAGCTGACCGTTAGTACATCTATATTACCTAAACCTTTTAGATGGTTTCGGCGCTTTAAAATCTAACGACATGCTTTTCTCTTTTTGTTAAAACTTTCGGATCACATAAGTGACACATATCATAAGATTTTTTGTTAATTTGAGCACCTAAATTTTCCCACCTAGAAAAAGAGTATAGTCCCATATGTATATTACTCCTAAAGTTATATTTAGGGTTAGAGATCACATTAACACGTAAATAATGGATGTGATCTGTATATTACGTCTGAGAAACTGGGCATGACCAGAGTTGTCGGCCTTGCCAGATATGACACACGTACACATTGCCTACTATAATCTTTATACACATGGTGTGATGTAAGAAACCATTCCTCCCGTGGGAAGAGTTCAGGAGCGATCTTACATTATAGCTGGCTCTTAGATCAGTTAATCATTCTATATTCTATCAACGTACAGTGTTTATGATGGTTATAATTTGATATATTATAGTAAGAAGATAATTAGTCTAGTAGAACCAATATTGTTCATTACAGCACCAGCAGCGATATACCAAGACTGTTGGAAATTAGGTAGTTCGTGACACTCTCTTGTGAAAATGTTCTCACTGCGCAATGCAGGATATTGTTTTTCAATAGCCAAATTAGGAGAGGAGAAGCAAGAAGCAAAACTCCTATTAAATTCATATTTGTGATGGAATTCAATTTGCCAACATCTAATTTTACTGTGACTTAGCTAAATATTACCACCCTTGAATCAATATGCCAAAAAGACTCTCGTGTTAGGGCAAATACATGATTATGGGTCATGAATTCGATATACATGTATTCGTCTTAATATTTGCTTTACCACATAGAGCTCAATGCATATAACCGTAGAAGCTTTTAGTATTAACATCCAACGCCCGATTTCCCGTTATTGAATAAATACTTTCCGTAGAAGTTTAGACTGGTCAATTCGATGTCGATCATGACAATTCAATGGTAACAGTTCAGTCTCCTTTAAAACTGTTTATTTTGTCAGTTTCTAGCACATTTAAAAGGGAATTTTAACTGTAATACGGTCAATTACAGAGCATTTCAAATTTTCGGTGTCTTTTCGTTTCATGTTACACAGTCAACGCTTTGGAAGCGTAAAATAGAATAAAAAACGAATCGTAAAAAGTCAGAATAAGAACCTTTCGGTATTCGGTCTAACTGAATGCGGGAAGTATTTCCTAGCGATTGTAAAAGAATCGAAATTACCTTAAACACCTATTCACGCAATTTGAATTCTGTGAACAAAGATAATACATTATATTGTCATATAATGCAACAAGAATAGAATAATTTTTAACAATAAAAGCCTTTCATTCTAGATTAGGCCAACAAGGTTAATACAGTACATCAATCAAGACAGGCGAAAAACAATCTACATTGTGTGGACATGAGATAATATTATAATAATAATAATCAGTATTGCTTTCAGGAAATTAAAATGAAATAATTTAATAAGATTATTGTTAAGTCCATTCATGTTATAACTGCGTTGGTTGTAATATCATGGAATTTCTTTTGATTGTTGAAAATAATTCATGGAATTATTTCATGGAAATAACACGTTTTTCGTTTTATAATTTTTTTAAAAAAAAATTTAACTTAATCATTTCGAATGTTGAGCGACCAATGATTGTTTTCAGCCATTTAAAAAGAAAGTAAAGAAGGAAAGAGAAAAGAAGGAACGTAGAAAAGCAGCCATTATTTACAATGTTCACGATGACCATGTCTACCAGCTGGCCAACCTCTTGACATTAATCTTTCAGGGACTTATTCCAGGTCATCAGAGTTTCGCACGCTGATCAAATATTAAACTGTACTTAAATAAAACCTCTTGTATATGTTATCCATATATAATCTTAAGAAAATTACAGATTTGTCGATGTGTCACATATATTCCCTGTCCCACACCCACCTAAGAATTTCTGGGCTCTTATGACTATGTCCATAGGGTTCAACTTTTTTATATTTTCTATATATATGTCGGGAACACAGATGGCATCAATTTGCACCATTCAAATTTTTAATCAATAGCAATTTGATGCCATCAGTGTCCCCGATACTCATAAAAAACCCTCTTTACAATTCCTTTAAGTTCGTACAATAATAGCAACATAACTGTGTTTTAAATATTCAATGACCAGTATAGCAGGGTAAGAACTTAATTGTATTAAACTAACAGTAGGACGTAAAACGCCATTTATTTCATTTCATTTTGTATTAAACTAACGCCTACAGGGATGAGAAATAACGTAGCCCGAAACATTTGCGCCTATTTCAGACTCTGATAGATAATTGACAGTTGTCGGTTGGAATAGAGTCGACAACTCTCAAACTAGCTATCAAAAGCTGGAATAGAGCCGACAACTCTCAAACTAGCTATCAGAAGCTGGAATAGAGCCTACATCTCTCAAACTAGCTATAAGAGGCTGGAATAGAGCCGACAACACTCAAACTAGCTATCAGAAGCTGGAATAGAGCCGACAACACTCAAACTAGCTATCAGAAGCTGGAATAGAGCCGACATCTCTCAAACTAGCTATCAGAAGCTGGAATAGAGCCGACATCTCCCAAATTAACTCTCAGAGACTGTGATAGAGCCGATACTCTCAAATTAGCTATCAGAGGCTGGGATAGAGGCAATCTAGAAATGACTATAAACATTGCAATTTTAAAACTTTATTCCAAATACAGCAACAGATATCAGGTCAATCAGTTAAACAAATTTAAAAGAGACCTCGACCGGGTAGTGATCACTCACAGCATACGCCTGAAATGTACAAAATTAATTTAATTAAGTTCTAGTTTTGCTAGGTTTTTGTGATAATTTTAACAAATATTACACATTTGTTGAAGGAATAAGGAACACAGCAAACACCGACTTAGGATGGGAAATAGGAAGGTGATAAAAAATAGCTATAATTCGGTACTAGTGGGTTAAGGGTTAAAGCCGACAGCGGGCCGACTCTCGGAAGCACAGGCACAGGCTGTACAAGTGTTCTTACCTTGAGTAGGATTCGAACCCACAGCAACTAATCGCCTAGCAGACGACAATCCAACTCGCTTTTTTTTTTATCTTGTAAACAATTCAACTCGATACCGACTGAGCTATTCCACAGTTTGAGTTAGAAACCCTGAAAGGTCTGTATAAAAATTCACTTACCTCACTCTCTGTCAAGATTGGCGACTCTTCCAAATCAAATCTATCAACTTTGCCACTTCCAGGAACGATGGCATTCTGCAATTCTGTTCCAGCGACCAAAATTCTGCAAATATATTCAAAATCCATTTTAATCTGATGTCTCTAAACTGTCTTCCGTTCAAGTTACAAGAATGTGTCAACAAAGCTCATTAAAACATAAATGTTGTAAGATATGATTCAAAATGATAATATAACGTATAATAATTACTTTCATTCCGTTTTCTGTTAGTGGCTATATCAAAAATAAAAGCTAACAAAACGAAACGGAACGAAAATTTGGTCCAATTTTTATCAAAAGTGGTTTTTAACTGAATGTAAAAAAAAAACAATCGTGATATGACCTCACCTATCATAAGCATTATTCGATTTGATCTTGGTGGTAGTGTCAGCCTCGGAACCAATCACCCATAAAAATCGAGGATCGTTCTTTAGTAGAAGTTTTTCTTCTTCTGTTCTAGTCAGATAACTTCCATCAGCATTGAAATCGCCAGTCAATACAACATTCTGAAAGTATGTAATCATTGTTGTCTGTAGTCTAGAGAAAGGTTGTTAATAACAGGGTTATTGTTATTCGATTATGGCTACAGGTTTAATGGCAGAATTGTATTTTAAGAAACTTTGATGTTTCAAAAACGGTTGCAGTTAAATTATTAAAGTGGGGATATACAGAATGGGTTTATTGGTACAAAGCGTTTCGAAATAGGGCTGTTTTGACACATGTTGATTCAGAGTAGGATCAATATCCACTTAAAAGTGTAAAAATCAGTGAGACTGCCTCTGTCCAAAAGAAAAAAAACAAAACAAGGCAAATGGTCTTACTCGAGTTCCCCATCGTGCTGCCACTACATTATAAACATCTAACAGTCCATCCATTTCTTCTGGTACTTTGCCTGGTTCAATATGTATACCACACACGGCAAAAACTGAAAGCATTAAAGCAGTCATGGTTTGCCAAAACTGTGGACCTCTTCCACAAAGCGAGTTAAATAAGTCAGATGTTACCAAAAAAATTTCATTCTCTTTAACTAATTGGACAGCCATGGCTTCTCAAAATTGTGGCGCTTTACGCCTACGCTTGTCTTGAACAACAAAGATGTCTGTTTGGCCCACCACAGAAAATTGTTATTCTGTCAAACTGATTGGACACAATTTCTTATTTGTAGCACACGGGGGAATTTCTTTGAAGGGATTCAAGTTCCTGCCCTTTCCTGCACGAAGCACACCATTCTGGAAGATGTATTTTGTAACAATGCTGCACTTCGTCAACGACAATTCGAATCTAATGTACTGTACATACCGGGATAATTCTCTTTAGAGCTATGAAGATTGGGTCTCCCTTGTACTTGAATACAGAATGGTTCTCTAGAAAACACATCAGTACCATCATCTGGACCATCGTCATATTGAAACTCAGATTTTACATATACTCGATCAGTTCTGGAAATCAGAAATAAAGAGGTAGTGAGGCAAGCTTTTTCAACGGAGCTGTCTTAATCACAATCGTCAATAACACTCGAAGAAGCTTTTTAAACAAACCAGTGAATTATTACAACTCTACTTTGTGAATTCAGGTTTCTTCATCCTTGAAAGACGAGCTATTTTGTATTTCGTGGTACAGTCGACGAAGCTGTCTTTATCACCATCGACTCTTCTTTTTGAAAAGTGTATCGGGCTTATCATGTTCCTTCAACACCTTAACCACAGAAGAACCTGATATCTAGTACCAGGATGGAAATCTGCAAGGGATCTAAAGAACCTTTATAACTTACCTGAAGAAGAAAGCGTATTGTTCTTTATAAACTCCTCGTCCAAGTCGGTCGCTCATAACATATCCAAACTCAGGATTCAATCTGCGATATTGAAAAAAATAATAAAACCTTCTTTCTGCTTCTGTTTCTGTTGAAGATGGACAGATTTCAATGAGGGATATTGCCTAAAGAACGTTATCCTACTCAGTACAACTCAGTGGTTCATTTTTGTCACACTTTTAATTGATCTTTCCACCCCTCTCCCTTTTCGAAGTCCCTCTAACGCCCATAGTTTTTGTAGACAAACTTGATCACATAATACTTTTAACCCAAGTACTATTTAGAACAAATATGCATAAATTTACGATAGGGGTGCGATAATCTGTTCCTTTACCGCGGACGTAAAATGTAGGTATAAATAAAACTTGGTGGTGGTAAAAATGTCTTAAGACCTAAAAACAAGTTATGAAGACTTACTTAGTGACCATATCAAACAGTTTAATAATGGACAATCCTGCTTTATCTTTTATTTCTTGTATTAATAATACATCATAACCAGACACGATCTGAAAAACAGAGAGGCAACCTGATGTTTGTCAACTGAAAGGGATTGTAAAATGTTTTATAAATTTTGTATGAGTATCGGGGGCACTAACCGCATCAATTTGCATCATTCTAATTTTCAATCAAACGTCTGTGGTTCCTGTAATTCTACTCAACTAAGTGTTTGATGAAGTCACTTATCTCAAAATATGCATTAGAGGATATAAAGGGTGGGGGAGGGGCAAAATTTTCTTATAGGAGGTGATGCATTATCACATAAGACCCTTCGTGATCATCAAACACATCATTTTGTCACATGTTTCTCTTAATACAGACTTTATTTGTAATAGTCGTGATGGAGAATAAAAAATACTAATAATGTACGGTAATTATATCAGGTGTAGTTGTCAATTGATTTGTATATTATAATCTGGATATTTATTGATACAGCCAGCATTCTCTGTTTATTTAAACTGGTGGTCGCGGGTTTCTATATTAGTTTTTTCTGTATCTATATTAAAACGTGAAACAATTAAAATATTCAGAGAATGTATTAAAACAATGGGATAGGATGACATTAATCTATATTAAAATTGTGTTTAATTTACTGTATAGAAAATAAACAGTGTTTGAAAGCAGGTCCGTAACCAGACTTGATTGTTTGGAGGGGCAAGTAATATATCCAGAGGGGCAAAATATGGTGTTTAATTGCAGTAATGGAGTAAGTCGGGCCTGGTTTGAAAAACGATAGAAAAATAAAAAAACAACTATATTTTACAGCGACAACAACTTAGATTCACCAAGGATCCTTTCTACCAGCTGGCATTTCAAACCGCTTGGCATTGATCTTTGTGTGCCTTGTGTGAGGAATATAGAGGTTTGCTGTGCCGCTTTATGATTCTACATTGTTCTTTACTGCTGGACTAGAAACAATCAATCTAAAATTAATTTATATGACCTCATAAAATGCCATGCGTGGGTTAATGAACCGATTTTAGTGTTGTGGTTGACCAAGGGTCCTTTCTACCAGCTGATTCATGACCAAACCTTTTTGTATTTGTGTGCCTTTAGATATTGCATCATATAGAAACAAGAGACATGCCGAAGCTATGCCGCTATATATTTCTATATTGTACTATATGACTGGACTAGAATCAGTCTGAAATAAATTTATATGATCTCATCAAATGCCAGGCTGTGTCGGTTAATTTTGTTGTGCTGAAATATCTAATTGACATTAAAAAGATAAAAACCTCTAATAATAATTCATCAACAAATTGATCAACAAATTCTTCCTTCGAGTAAATGGAATCAGGTGATATAGTACTCCATATATGGTTTTTCACAAATAAACCAATGTCTGTATAAATTTTGACTTTGGGTAATCATATTAAATATTGGATTGCAGAAAAGTTCATTTTGATTTCGGTGCTATCATTAGACAACTTTATTTTTGACTGGCGAAATACGATGCGATACCGCTTAAATCTAACCTTGTTCCAGATCATTATTAACATTTTAATGCATATAGCACCAATATTAGCATCAATAAAAAAAGACTAATCGTAATATATGCTTATTCACATAAGGCCTTTAGGTTTAGTGGAATTGCATAAGCAACAGACGTCAAACTGAAACTTGGAAGTGTGCAAATTGATGCTATCGGTGTCCCCGATACACATAAAAAAATTTGAAAAAAACTTTACAATCCCTTTAGGATATCGACAGTGATAACTACATTTGAGAATATAAGGCAGTGAAGACAGTACAAACATTTAAGATTTGTTATTGGTTAATTCTATAGGAACCCTATGATATGATGATAGCTAAGTATTCTGATATTTTCACATAAAGCTCATAACTAGTCATATCATTGTAAAAATAAAGTTGCCAAAGGACAAATCATGGTATCTGAAAAGGATAATTTGGTCTAGACAGATTTTTTCTTGATTTTCATTTACCGCCCAGGGTGAAATTGATTTTGTTAAAAGTTCAAGATTATGACAAAAGTTTCATGGACATAATCCTCCGATTTATTTATTTATTTATTTATTTATACCTAGTTAACAACAGTTTATAGTAGACCAGATATAATCTGCTAAACAGAAACTATATTGATGGTAAAACAAGTTACTTAGACGAATAGATCCTTTGTAAGCTGTTTATCTTACAAAAACTACTAGAGTTCAAAACGGTACCACGGGGCTTGAGATAAGGGCCAAAAGGTTCGATAGACCTATACGACTCTGATTAAAAATTAAGATATGATATGAAACTTCTTATGCATTGAAATATATGATAGTCTAAATCTGAAAATTGAGTAAAGATAATGTGAGGGCAATTCTCATTTGTCTAGCTTAATAAAATATTTATCTATCTGGCTAAGAAGACGTATTCTAACGAATAGGTTGGAGGCCCTAGGAAACCATTGTTCGGAAGTCCCTAGAGCTGTTCGGATTGTTCCTGCTTGCCGACAGTTCTTCATTGTAACTTAGAATCAAATAAACTTACCTTTGCAATCCTCTCTGCAACCACAAGTTTGTTCATCTTTGACTTACCAAAAGTCTTTATATTGAAGGAACCAATACGTAGTGGAGTTTCGACAGTCGCTGGCTGTAGGAAGCTGGCAGCACAGCATGATGATACTAGCAACGCCACAAGATACATGCTTGATGTTTTCAGATAAGTTGAAGAGCTATCCAAGTGATAGACAAAACCAAAGTAAAAGTACTCAATCACCGTGGGTATTTATTAGTATTAATTGTAGACGCGGTTATTTATTCTGGATGATCGAGTAAACACCTGGCATTTTTTCAGTTTTTATTTGCTTTTCACGTCACTATGCCAGGTAGATTATTAAATATTACTTTTAAAAATATTTATCAAACTGTTCAATGCAATACGAGCTTGATGTTCCTTCTTTTTTCCAAACCCTGACTGCGTGTGGGTTTTTGTCCTTGTATCACGAAATCCAGCGTTTTAATTGGATTGTACGCTAACGAACAGAGCTAATCAGAGACAATGTCTATAACCATCATGGCCACAAAGCCGAAAACTCTTCATGGTTTACAGACTTTCTGTAACGTGGCGTAAAGTTCAATGAAATCGCTGCATTTACAAACTCTCGTGATACAAGAAAAGAGCTTAAATAACTTTTGAACAACATATGGAAATTTGTTGGAGAAAAGTGATTGGAAAATTAAAGATGGGTTCCCTTATTTTCATTTATAAAAGCGAAAATGCTAATATTCATATGAATATAAAGTAGTGGTGTTCTTATGACCAGGAAAAATACCAGTTTGTCTCACATGTCCATAATTAATTCATAACTAGCTAAGTTAAAAGAAAATTATCAGCAGAATGCCAATGAGTGACCGGTCAAGAAAGGTAAAAAAGTCTTTTTGGACATTTATGACTGGTTAAAACTATATGCAATAAAAACATAAAGATATGATTAAGAATACATGATAATTCATTAAAAACACGAATTAATCAAATAGTTTGCTTACTTTGACACTAAAAAAATAAGGAACCCCATCTTTAACGTGTTCTGGGTGCATAATTATGCAGTATTTCTTGTCCCCCCGACATTCTAAAGCTGTGTCCCAGAGACAGGGTAACATTTTCGCCTCCCTAAAAATTGAATCAATGTTTTCATACTCCTCCATCCATCAATCAAACGACCTCAATGTGGCATCACATGACCAATCTGATGTTGGCAGAATGTTGGTGATATCTGTATACACTGACCATCATAACAACATCCTCCAACAAGCAACAACTGTCTCTACATTGGTCAACATGTCTCCAACATCGTGATGAAATCTAGAACGTTGGAGAAATGTTGATATTATCACCGCGTCTTTAATGAAAATGAAATGAGTTCTTGTGGACATGAATAAAATGTACTTTAAGCAGACTGAAGAAAGTTCATTGGAATTAGCGGTGACTTTCCCTTACAGCTCGTAGAATTTGAGTGTAGATGACAATTAGAATTTTAATCTTTGAAAAATATGTAATCTGATATATATAAAGACTTCTTAATTTAAATTTTATCCCGAGGAAATATTTTATGTAGGATTAAGTCGATCACGGAGAAAAACGAAACGAAATAATAAGTAGCAGTATTTTTAATTATCTTGTACGAAACCGCTCTGTATCACCCACAAGACTGTTCATAACAGAATTTAAAAATGGATTTATATTCTTCATTAAACATAAGAAAAGCTCTAAATATTGAAACAGTGATATGCAGATAAAGCCCTGTATCAACATGTATTATGTAATATATACGCGGATTATCGCAGTCATAATCGGTAATAGAGGAACAATGGTGTTGCACGACCACTTAATATACACAAATACACATAAATACCCACGATGATCTGGATATTTGATTTGAACATTCATCGAACACGTATACGTGTTTGCCCATGACTTTTTGGCAATATGAGTATGTCATTATGACAATTAGAATTAAAATAAGACCAAACTTTCGTTCCGTTTTTCATTAGCTTTTATTTTAATATAGCATCTTCAGTTGGGGTCTAACGACAGCCCTCTTGGACGTTCGTCAAATTGACCTATTGACCTAATAAGACTCTAACTGAAGTAGCTATATTAAAATAAAAGCTAATACAAAAACGGAACGAAAGTTTGGTCTAATTTTAATTAAACTGATACATTGTCATAATGACATGCTCATATTGCCAAAATGTGAAAAAGGCATGGCCAGCTAATAGGGTATCCTATCTTATATTTTAATTACATATACTAAATTATAAGAATTCTTGGCGTTAAAATCACAGATAAATTTCTGATGCAGGGATTTATTTTCTTTAAAAATTTAAGGAGAGGGTATTATAGGCGAAAGCCTGTTCCCCAATCCCATTATGTCAATAAATATTGTTTATAAAAAAAAATATTTGAAAAAAAGCTAATAAAAAAACGGCCCGAAAGTATGTTATGAGTCTTATGCTACAGCTGTAATCCACCAGGGGCCTGGTTTTCGAAAGTATCTTACGACTAAGACACGTCTTAAGATGGTCTTACGACATATCATAGTCGTAAGATAGGTTTTCGAGAGTGTCCTAAGTTACGATAAATCATAAATTTCATCGAAATCTTAAGACACCTCTCGACCTGTCTTAAGATTGTCTTATGATTATGATAAAAGTTATGATGGACTTATGATTATCATAAGAGCTTCGATATCACGTGAATAAAAGAATATGCCTGCTGTTTACAGCACATTCGACAACAAGCTGAAAACTTACGCCGAAACAGAGTATTTCGAGACAGAAATAACCCACTAGACTACATGGATGATGAACAAAAAGTATGCAGATATATTTTTTCACGCCCAATTATACTAGATTTATGTAGAATGTTCCGAACAGCCCTAGCAAGGACAACAGCAAGATCTCGTGCCTTTCCTGTTTCATTCCAAATCATGGTTGCACTCAGATTTTATGCCACTGGAAGCTTTCAGATGGTCAATGCTGATGTCCATAACATATCTAGACCAAGTGTATCTTAAATAACACGTGATGTAACTGCATGTTTAAAGAGGGTTTGTAATGACTATATAAAGATGCCAACTGACCAGTCTGGACTTCGCAACATCATGAGAGGTTTTCATGAAAAAACAGACTATCCAAGTGTAGTCGGTGCTATTGATGGTACACACATACGTATAAAGGCTCCAACAGAGGATGAACATCTTTATGTAAATAGAAAAAGCTACAATTCTATTAATGTTCAAGTAGTTTGCGATTCAAATATGAAGTTTTCTTTTTAGCACTGTTTGTTACTACATTGCTGTGTCGGCTGAAAAGTAAGGACTTATTCTTCTCCACTTCGTCTATCAAAATTTGAATCTCCTGCGATGTAAAATTCGGACTTTTTCTCTTCTTATTATGTATAATAAATATAAATGTATTATTTCTATCCTTATAGAGTACTTTCTCAAAGCATTTGCACGAGCATTTCGTTAAGCGGTTACATGTACACGATGTCTCACATCTTAAAAGTATTCACAATTAGATAACAAACACATCATGTAAGATAATAAATAAACACAGAGTTCGAGAATGTAAAAGTATAATAAATATACAAACTAAATTCAAACAAATGATCAAACTACGATTTTAATTCATTTTCATATAAAATTTAATGTTGATAATATATTTTGTAAGTAATAACTATAAATTTTTTTTATAGTAAATGTTATCACTTATGACAGTCATAAGAGCATCTCAGATATGATTATCGTAAGACAGCTTTGATTTACATTCTATGACATGTCGTATGGTAGTCATAAGATAGTCTTAAAATTTGTCTTAAGATATATCTTATGACGTTTCTTGCGATACTTTCGAAAACCAGGCCCCAGCTTTCTAAATTAAAATAAAAAAAACAGCATACACTGTTTTTATATAATATTTACCATGTCATCAATTTACAATCGTTATTTATCACCCAACTAATACGGATGTACGTGTCTGATAAATCCCTCCACGCATCTCAAGGTAGCCGCGGTGGTAGTTTCCCCCTGTGAATGATGCATATTATAGAGCAGGATGGGGCGTCACAGCCCTCTCATCACTACGCCTGTGTGTTTACCTTATATCATTTTCGAGAGATATGATTACATCTTGACCTTTGACCCTAAGGAAGCAAGTAAAGACAAGCCAGGTAAGTTACTACTGCGGATATTTTAACCTAAACACCTCAAGGCAATGAATCATAAAAGGTTCTAATTATTGCTTATGCTCATTTTTGTCATGTACATGTATATTCATGCTGTAATATTCGTACTGGTTGCTCGAAAACGAGCGTGGAGGGTAGTATCAAAACTCTACCTGATAGTTGTCTCAAAGGGAGGCTATCCCTTTTTTTATTTACAGCAAATTGAAGGGAATTTAAGCATTAACTCTAATTTTTCTGATCTTGATATTTCTTACGAAGAAAGCAAATGTCTTGCAATGTGTAATCAAAATGAACATTTCTAAGGACAGCATTAATCCCCTCTTTTTCGTAGTTAACTACCGAGGTACAGTATGCAGCTAATGGGACTTGGGTTTATTGTCTTAAACGAAAAATAGACATCTCTCCATGTTAACCACCCGACCAACATCAGAAAGATAATCTAAATCGCGAACTATGTGCGGACAACACCCAGAATATTAGGGTGAGCAGTCATGTGTCTTCTTCGAGATATTTTGACGATAGAACACGTAGCGTATCCATGACTGCCTCTGAAGCCAGAGTGGGACTGTGGAAAAATGGTGGCCTTTTTTATGGCAAGTTTCATGGGTCAGGGTCATAAATAAAGAAAATAATTTAAATTTCAGTGCTTCTGAATTATTGAGAAATGCAAATTCTTAACATTGCATTGAATGTAAGCACGACGTAAAACTCCAATCATTGCATTGACAATAAAATACAAAGAAGGGGGACTTTTTATTAAACGAATATTCATATTCAAAGACATAGCCTTAAACTAACTTAAACTTCAACTGGGCCTAATCAAACAAAAATGATTGTATTTAGGTCAAACCGATAGAGTTTTACATAATGCAGACAGACGCCATTATCAGCTGATGTATAATATAGTACATGACATATATTAGACAATACCCAGCTTGACTCGTATTCAAAGTAAGTTTTTGTGTGTTTTCAGATAGGCCTCAAAGCAATGTGCCTCTTGCGACTGAACCTAAGGCATTAGCTAGAGGTGGTGGGGGAAAGGCGAAAAATGGATCGTCTCCTGAAAAAATTCTGACAACCGACCAAACTAAACACCATACACCATTACCCCTCCGATATATTACTTGTCCATCCGAAAACTCAAGTCTGACTATGGGCTTGCATGGGCATTAGCTAACACTGTTTTCACCCTTCTGTAAGGTAGTATTGTATGTCATAGCGAGCGATTAGATACTCATGTATAGTACTACTAAACACATAATACTTATAGATATCTTATAAGATATCTCTGATAACCCGACTACACTTAATTTCACAGTTTTATTCACGCTCCTCAATTTTACACACGAGATTTAGATGTCGTTACTGCTTCGGTAACACTAGAATTCGCGGCTCACACTGTTTCTGGTACGTCCTTGATTGACACAGGCCTGAAGTTACAGGCGGGCAAATCAGCCGACCAATTTCATTACTGCAACCAAATACTATACACCATTGTCCCTCAGCCTGGATTAACTTCGGTATTGCTTTTGGAACAAGTACGCATGTCTCACCACTGCCTCAACAGCAATCTCTCATACAATGATGTCGTTCCTTGCATTCCTTGCAGAGATGGAAGGGGACAACTATTCTGTATTTAAACTAAACTTTACCACATTACAACCACTTACAGAACACTAGACTGCGATTTATTACCACTTGTACGGTACGGAACACAAGACAACGTTGTTCTTGTTGCATTCGAAACACCAGACTGGGATGTTCTTATCACTGACAATCAGACTGTTTTTCCTGGTGTTAGATTTGGAATAGAATTGATATATTCTGGTTGTCGACGTTTAAATTATGAAATGAAAACAGGGGATAATATATACAGATTATAATCGCGACCGAATAATAGTATTTTACAGTGGTCAAAATGATCTCTCAATTATTCATTCGCCCCTTTTACAATTACAATTATGATTTCTTGTTGTTTACCTAGAAATATCATTGGACGTCTTGAAATCCCCAAAAGTATTCATGCGCCTAAGATTATTATATGATGATCCCTTCCTGTAAAAGAGTCGTTATAATGTGATCATGGCTTCCTGTCCAGAGTTAAAATAGCGAAAGCGAAATTATTGATGAGAGATGTAATAAACTGGTTTAATATTCAATTTAAAGCTTTAAGTGATGAGCAAACAGAACAGGTGTCCAGTTTGGGGATGTAATTGTTTCGTGGCATAAAATCTGGACCCAATATATAAGATGCAGTCTAGATACCGACGGATATAAAACGTATTCGTATTGCGCTAGACGGTTCTATTTTACCCATCGCATAGTATTGTGGTATGAGTGGAGCACTAGAAGAACTATATCAGAAACATTAGATATCGATTGCTAAATTTACTTCGATCAGTGAAAATAAATCTCACAGTAACAGCTGTTGATGGTCAATATCTATTTGTAGAAGAATAGAACTCTATCAGCCAGTCTTTAGCGTAAAGATTAATTTGTGTTGCTAGCGTAAAGATTAATTTGTGTTGCAGAACGCCAGCGCAATTGCTTGGTCTTTATAGAAATGCTGCATCTGTGTTGTACATCACAAGAGCAACGTTATGGTAGGCCTACTGCTAGTGATCTCGTCTACTAACTTACTAATATTTCAATCGGTCGGTCATCGTATTCAATGAAGGGACATTATTTAGTTCGCGCTCCAAATCGAATTCAACCTATCAACTATATGAGCTGTAAAACTTGTCTGTGTGTGATGAACATATTCAAACATCCATTAGAAATTCATACCGCTGTAAATTTGAATTTTGATTGGTTAGCATGAATAATAACGACACCATGTCAAAGTTCAATAGTCCAAAGTCCAAAATCAGGAGAGTAACTTGCGTTTTAAAGACTGTGTACCGAGGACGCTGAGAGCATGAATTTGCACCAATCTAATTTTCAACCCGACATATGTGGTTCTCGCAATTCCACTTGAACTTAGCAATTTATGACGTGACTGTGGCAGAAGCATCTATGAATAAATTATTTCTAAGCATCTTTTGTGATAATCATATATTATTCGGCAATTACCGGAACCACAGACGTCTAGCAGAAAATTGGAATTTTGAAAATAGAAGCCATAAGTGGCAGATGAAAAGAGCAAGAAAAACTCCTTACATTTACTTTATTTTATTTTTACCTTACACTTTCGACTATTTCTTTCACTATACTGTGACTTCAAAAATTAGTTTATCCCAATATAAAAGTGAAACGAATGCTTATTAAATCCTTTCAAAACCTAATTTGGAAATCTGAAAATTAACATATTTGACAGGATCACTTGAAATAGTCTGTGATATTTCACAAATCAATTGGTTTCTGTGGAGAGAATCGAGAAGTGTTGATATCTAATTGGTTTTATCTGACACGGTTCTTGAGATTTGGTTGAACTAATTCAATATTACTTTTCAATATCTCCAAGACCTTATTGTTCTCTGAACTTGGTTATTATGGTTATTACGGTAGTTTGGATAGTTTTTACTTGGATAGTTGTTTTAATTTTTGGGATAGAATTCTATAATTAAGTCGCATTTAATTCTGAATAATGTGGTGGATCTATCAAATGATTGAACAAGTGTTTGGTGTTGTTGTTTTGTTTTTTTCATAAACCAAAAATAAGATAGGAGTCAGTGAGTTTTGGACTAAGAGAACCTTCAAAATACACAAGTTATCCGCTGAAACTGGTTTTTGAAAAATATTCCAAAAATATTACCTTCTATTTTCAGGAAGGAAGGAGACTCGTCTTTAATCTTCTGAGAAATTCGTTTATAACAAAGCGTCAGATCTACCAGTATCACGTGATCATGGATAAGATACCCCCAGCAGCGTCTGGTGCCAAGAGCGCCAAGGAATTTCTTCACGAGAAGGCGTTTGTTAATGGAGAATGGATTTCAGCGAAATCAGGGGCCACGTATGAAGGTAGTATGATAGTTAATTTTCACCTACCAATATCCAACAACTATTGGGAACGGGTAAATATTGGGATGGATGTCGTTCTAATCTTGCAACGGTTCCCAATCTATTGGTGCCTTCAATGACCCTATGGTATAGAGCACGTTCATATCAGCTCCATTTAATGTGTTTTGTACATCTAAAACAGCATTCCATAAGTTTATTTAACTAGCAACATATTGTCAATATGTAGAAGTTAAAACCTTTAACACTATGATAACGTTGCATTGCGCCGATTTTCCCTGGCGGTAATCAATCGATAACTGCCAAAAAATATGTCTCTTTCCTATTAATATATACATGAGCTCTTTATTGTATTGTCTCAATTGATGGTTACGACTAATGCGACCCACAATGGTTTAATGTGTTCACCATCAAATGCCTTTCCAGTAACGAACCCGAGTAACCAGGCAGTATTGGGAGTGGTACCTGATATGAATGACCAGGACACTAAAGCGGCTATAGAGATCGCATATAAAACCTTTCAGACGTGGAAAAATACCACAGCTAAAGTGAGTTAGGATGTATTTCTATTCATATAGGATTATATCCCCCACCTCCTCGACTGTCGTGGTAAAATTATCTTCGCTGCATAATGATACGTGGCACAGGAGCAGAAAGTTTCAGTTCGTTTCCTTTGTTATGCCTCTATATTTTATTGTAATTTTTTTCTCTAGGAAAGAAGTAATATACTCCGGAGATGGTTTGAACTCACATTAAAACATAAAGAAGAATTGGCCAAATTAATCACAGCCGAAATGGTGAGTAACGTTCCTGTACGACATAATACAGTTCTAGAAGTACATGCCAGGTACAGACACCTGTGCCACCTGTGCATACTTATACATGTATATTCAACTTCCCTTCGCGTACCTTTGTCCAAAACGACCCTAAATTACGAGGGTCAAAGAACACTTTGAAAACGAAGGTTTCACAAGAGGGTAAATGCCTGTGGACTTGGTTCAACTAGTTCCTATGGTAGCTGAACCAATATTCAACACTGTTCCGAAGCTGTTCTTGAAAGCTATACGGCCCTTACTTTTGATTTATTTTCAGGGCAAACCAATGGCTGATAGTACTGGAGAAGTAGGATTTGGTGCTCAGTTTATTGAGTGGTATTCAGAGGAGGCTAGAAGAATTTATGGTGACGTCATTTCCTCAAGTAATCCAAAGAGACGTCTGTTGGTTCTGAAACAACCGATAGGTGTCGCTTGTATGATCACACCGGTATGTCTCAGGATACGATTTGCATTGGGCCATTAAAGCCAGAGTTTGATGTCTTATACATCAATTGTTTAGATGAATTGTAATATTTTGACCCACGTGATGATTCGCAATATCTGAGAGCATTGCCAATTTCCATCGGTGTACCAGCATTACTGGGGTTGGGGCAATAGCACCAGACATTTAATAACTCAATGGTTTGAAAATTGAAACTGGAGGATGGCTGAACCCTGTCTCTCCCCCGTAGAAACGCCACTATGTAGCACGTCTACGTCTATGTCAACGGCAACGTAAAGGTAGTCTTCTAATTGCAATGAATATAATTTTAGTAACAGTGACAATACGAACTGAAACAAAAACTTTCGTTCATCATTCTTAGCTTTTTACTATCACTTTACAATTTTTTAGTGGAATTTCCCCAATGCTATGATAACAAGGAAGGCATGTGCTGCTATCGCTGCTGGTTGTACTGTTGTTATAAAACCTGCTGAAGATACTCCTTATTCTGCTCTGGCTCTCTGTGAGGTTAGTAGATGTATTTTTGTTTTCAAATTCTCATATAGTACGTCCAAATTAAGTAGAAATATGTCCTCTGGGTATTGCTTTAAAGTACCGAGTAAAATTAAGGTACAATGATAACATAATCTTTATGTAATGTTTAGTGGTTTAATCTTGTTTTCTGAGAAGCTTCTTCGACAATCTCCGATAAAGACAAAAGCAGTATCATTATAAAACCTGTTAGCAATTCAATAGTTTCCTCTTTTGCTTCTTGATTTCTCATAAATCACTAAAGGGTACCTTGTATTGTGTTAAACAGATTCTATGAAGAAGTCTTATATTTCTGGTCTAGTCCTTTTCCGTTTGATTCTTTGGAATCGGTAATCCTTGGGAGTTTCAGTAGAGCTCAATCTGTTGCAGAGCGCTAGCAGAACTTTAAATGTAGGTCGTTTGCTTTTGAATGCATGTTTTTAATCGTACTGTATTGGTTTGCATTCAGTTAGCAGCAGAAGCTGGTCTACCACCAGGTGTATTAAATGTGGTGACATCCTCCAGAAACAATGCTCCTAAAGTAGGTCAGACAATGTGTGAGAGTCCACTGGTGACCAAGATTTCTTTCACCGGTTCCACGGCTACTGGAAAGGTATAATTGATAACAGCTTTCTCTTGACCCCGTGACAAACCTCATTAATACCGTCCACTGCAGAACCCTTATTAGTACTCATAGTCCGAACTTTTACATATACGACCAGACAAAACACCCGAATCCGCTAATAATAATATTACTGGATCTAATCCTCTATGTTAATGCCTTGGTGTGAACTTCTCGGGTACTTCAGAAACCCTACGTTCACCTGCCCCCTACTACAAATCGGCAATTAAAATATCTTACCGAAGATTTTGATTATTAAACTGCACTCTACTCCAATGATCCAAGAATTGCAGGAATATCACTTGAGTTTAAGTTCAGAAAATAAACAACGGACACAAGTTCAGCGTGTGCTGTTTATCCTATCAATTACCCCAAACTTTAACTTGTGATGCTAGAACACGAGATGCTAACTGATAACACAAATATTTCAATACACTTTCAGATTTCTTACATTTAGTTCATCAACCAAAAGATATTATTTAAAAATTCGTCATTCACAATTGAAATTCCACAAACCCGCTCTTTGTTTTCCCATAAATCTCAAGATCTGTGTGATCTAGGTATCAATAGAGACAATGTTCGCAACGCAATCATTCCATACATTTTCAGATATTGTTACGCCAATCAGCTGATACAGTAAAAAAGACATCAATGGAGCTTGGTGGCAATGCTCCCTATATAGTGTTTGATAGTGCTGATTTAGATGTAGCTGTGAAAGGAACTATTGGTAGTAAATTTAGGTGTTCTGGGCAGGTAAGAGATTTGCTTAAATTTCGAATAAATTCCTAATGAAACATGCAGTTTCCCGAAAACGCGAAACAATCCTTTGTATCATCGCCCTTTAAACCACGTTACTTATGAATAAATAGATGTGACTGTCCAAGTATTTCGTTTAAGGCGACAAATTTTAGGTTGTGTGTATTCATTTATCCATTTGCCTATAGTTTATCTATAATCTATAATCTTCCGTCATAGGGGTATGACAAGAACAATCTTCCCCTGTTCGTTCTCACTGTTCCAAACACTCATCTTCTCTTTACAATTCCCACCATGTCAAACGATCAAAATGTTGGTTTTATGTTTCAGACCTGTGTCTGTGCCAACAGAATACTCGTCCATGAGAAGATTTATGACGAATATCTGAAGAAACTGGCAGAAACAATGAAAGCTGAACTTAAAGTGGGTGATGGGTTCGAATCCGATGTAAACCAAGGTCCATTGATAAATTCCAAGGCTGTAGAAAAGGTAGGACTTGTTCTTCCTGAATTTGTCGCATGATAGTAGATTAGAATATTGAAATCCGACTGATCTAAGGTTTTGCTTTACTCCCTGAAGAGCCAAACTCAGCGACCCATATCTCTTTCAAGATTAAAACTGCGACGTCTGGTCCGTAAACTATATCGTTGTTGTTACCGATTGCACATCTTATCTTTTGGTCAATATGATTCGCGTATCCTATTTCTAGCATGGATGAGAGACGCATATTATGTTCTTGATATATTGGACTTGTATATAACAATTGCAGCTGTTCCTTGTTTGTCAAAAATCAAACGATCAAGTTCCACCCGTACACATGTATATAACAACGTGTTTCCGGGTTGATCTCTCGGTGCTCAGTGGTCGATCCATAAAATTCCTATCCGTTTCATTTCATTTCCTTAGGTCCAAAGTATTGTGGACGACGCCGTTGCTAAAGGAGCTCGTGTTGTGATGGGTGGAACCAAAGGTGACAAGGGAGGTAACTTCTACAATCCTACTCTGTTAGCAGACGTCACAACCAACATGAGATGCGGGAAAGAAGAAATTTTTGGCCCTGTAGCCCCGATTTTCAAGTAAGACTTATTTCTGTCACCTTTCTTCAATAGATCCACGAAAGCCACGAAATGATTCGGAAACTAATCCTCCACTGTTGTTTGTATTATTTTCAAAGGTATTGTGAAGAGATTTTCTAAATTTGTTATATTGTGTAGGCCTATCAGGGACAGTGATAGCACCAATTTGTCAATATCTAAATGTCGATTTACGATTAATAGTAACTTATATTTTTCAGATTTAAAACAGAAGACGAGGCTGTTGCCATTGCAAACGCCACAACATCAGGATTAGCAGGTAAATAGGAATTATATACATTGCTTGTAAAAGTGCCTCTGATTGGCGGGGTAGTGATATAAATAGCTTAGCTTCACCAATACGCGACCTTTTCATATTTAATATGTCTCGTAAAATTACGATGAAGACAGAAATAAAATAAAATATGAACAAAAGTAAATTGTAATCTAATGTTAATTTGGATTAAAGATCATTAAAGATCAGTTTAGTGCGGAAATGCATGTCTTGAGTGACTTGTCGAGTAAAATAGTTGAGCCCCCCAATAAAAACAACGAGACAATATTCCGATCTATTTCAGGTTACTTCTATTCTAAAGATATCAGTCAAATCTGGAGAGTGGCTGAGAGACTGGAGTATGGTATGGTAGGGGTTAATGAAGGGGTCATATCCTGTGTCGAGGCCCCGTTTGGTGGGGTGAAGGAGTCAGGGTTGGGTATTGAAGGAAGCAAGTATGGGATCAACGAATATATTGAACTGAAATACGTCTGTATGGGTGGCATAGAATGAGATGGTTGTATTGACTGATTATGAATCAAAATGAATAAATATACTTTCTGTCATTGTTTATCTCCATTACTATGACCCATTAGTTAAAAGTCGATGCCGAATATTCTGGCTGAAGGGGTTAAAAAGAAAATGAAGGTAGAATGCAGCAACTCTTTTTCCGTTTTATATCGACAAAAAAATGGCCTAGTGTAGATTTTTTAATCTTTGACACAATCTCCAAGCTATTTGCTTTGTCGGTAGCAGAACTTTGGATTGCATCGGGTGGGGGCCACTTTATGGAGATGAAGCTTGCGTCGAATATTCTTTTAATATTTGGGGGGGGGGGGTCTTTTTTTTTATATAGATATAGGCCTATGTAACCAAACATATAAGTAGGCTGCTATCTGAGTTTCGACGGATTATTCCGTATTTTGCGTGTGAATTATACTGATTGATGTTAAAATAAAACTTGTGATTCTCAAGTTAAAATGCTTCAGAATGGTTTAAAAACAGTAATCAAGGGGAGGTTATGCAGATCAGTAATTCAGACCACAGCAAATTGTACGTAGGCTAAATAATCCTCCACCATAGAAGAGTAGATTGCCTAAAATGGCGGCTTTGTTTTGATAAATCTTGGAATTAAAATTAGTAAATAGTTGATCGTTTTACAATTATTAAGGCTGAATTTGGCAATTTGCCATTGCATTTGATGCCAGAGATGGCAAATTTACAAATGTCAGACCTCAATTTCAGGATTGCGTCCTTTGATTTGTGTATTCAGAGTAAGATTAACCAGCGTGGCGATATTGACAACTGTCAAAATGGAAATCACGTTGAATTCAGTAGTTCTACATCGTTTCTGAAGTTAGCAAGGGCTGGCTTTTATTACTCTGAGGCAGAAGAAGTTAAATGTTTTCAATGTGGAGTAGAATACAACTCGTGGGATAAGGAATCTCCTGTTGCAGTTCACAGAATTCTCAATCCTGATTGTCCTCTTCTGGATCCAAACAAACAGGATGCTGTCACTGAAACATTGTTCAAAGTACCAGCTACTCCTTCACCAGCAGATTCCAGAACTTACAATGATTCATGCTGCCATTCACAGCAACCCTCTGATGATGAAGCCACTCCTGAGGAAGTTCCAGTTCTTCAAAATGACAGAAATTTGAATCAGTGTGATAATGGATCTACATCTGAGAGTAATTTTCAACGAGATGAAACCCCTCCCACTTATACTACAGAATCAATGGTTGATAGATCAGAAGTTGAAAATGTCAGACGTAATTTGTTTCCGGGAGCAGACAACGTAGCTAGGGTAAACCCAGATGATCATAATTTGACTCTCTTGGCCAACCTCGCCAATGTTAATAATCTATTTCCAAGCCTAAGACTGAAATGGAAACACAGTGATGATAATACTGGAAGAATTTTTCATCCTAAAGTTGGGAACAAGAAACTAATGGTACGAGAATCATTTCGCATTTTAACGTATCCTGACCCCACAGACCCGAAAGCTGAAGAATGGGCGAGAAATGGATTTATGTTTCGCAAAAGAAATGTTGTACGTCAGTATGAAGCAGATTGTATTAAATGTGTGTATTGTGGAGGCTGTGCCTCATTTAATGAAAATAATGTAGAAAAAATTCATAAAAGAATCTCACCAAAAGGAGGATATATTTGTCCTATGATAAGTGG